TACATCAACACTTATCAGAAGTACGTTATATACTACATCTCTTTTGGGATCAGGATGAATACTTCTTTCTTCATTTTCAAGTATATGAAGGAGTTAGTCAAGGAGACCAAGAATGGTGGTACTAAAATAAAAAGGTGGGTTCCCATGAGAAGACTAATTTCTGATGTGCTTGTTGAAACTATGCAGGGGCTAAACATGACTAAAGAGATAGACACAAATGTTGGAAAAATCTTCAATGGAAGAAATATGAATAACATGTCTTTTATGAAGTTATTGATCCTTCAGAAGTTTTGGATAGGGATGAAGTATCTTCTAGAAGGATAGCCATTGATGACTATCCCATTTTTACCAAAGTGGATCCACTTGAAGTCCTACGATCTTACATTGACGACTGCATATCCTCATGTATTGTACTTGTAGCTATTTTGTATGATGAACTTCCAAGTGCTCCTCCTAAAGTTCCTCTCAGAAGGAAAAGGAAAACAACTACAAAGTTTGGTGATGGACCTTCTGAAACTGTTAAGTCTCCAGTAAAGGTGGCTACGACTTTGACAACTATGAGAAGGCCTCTGGGAACTGTACTCGAAGCCGAAGATGAAGGTTTTGGGAACACTGGGAAACTAAAGAATCTCCTACTTAGAATCAAACTTCTGGTAAGTCTTCTGTTGCTAAGAAATTTTTTTCTTTCTGATCATGTTGTTAACACTTCATCTTCATTCGCTTCTATTCGACCTACTCCACCAATACCTTCTAAACCTTTTGGAACCATCTATACCTCTCAACAAAACATTCTTATACTATTAAACCATCTGAACCTACACCATTTAATCCACATCCATCTGAAACCATTCTCGTTGAACCTATACACCCACAAATTCCTGAACCACTTCTTTCATAACTTTAACAAACACAGTCTGAGAATCCCCCATATGAACCTCTTTATCCCATTCATACATCCTTCCATTGTCATTCCTGAAATTCATTCCTTTCCAAATTCAACACCTTCACCACCAACTCAACCAAATGTCATAAATACACATATCATTGACACTCAAATGGAACATCTCTTAAATAATTCCCCTTCTACTACCGATTCCTCAAAGAAAACTATTTAAGTCCCATCTGACTCTAAGGATGAAGTTGCACCTGTCCTAAAGTTCCTCAATACCCAAGTGACCCTCGACACTCTTAAACCAAGTGTTGGTGAATTAGTGTTACAATTTGAGGCTGAAGTAAATGATCGTCTACGCTCTCTTACGTAAGCTTGCAGAAAAATTGTGCCAACCCTACTGAGAATGATGCTATTAGGAATGACTTCAGAAGATATGTCAAATCTCGTTCCTAGAAACAGAGAGAAATTTTTTTTGAATCTGCTCAGAAAGAATTCCATGAAAAACTTTCTGGTATCATGGAGCCTTTTTTGCAGTTGTTCAAACCAAAATATCTTATTGCACCAGAAGCTAATTTAACCTTGGTTGTTTCTTAAAAAAGGCTCAGGCTGCACAAGCTAATATGACTTTGGTTTCTCTCAAAGTTACTTATGCTCATGAACTACAAGTATTTTCTCAACTTGAGATTGGAACTACTTATGTAATTTAAAAGCCTTCTGAATCTGACTCTATGTTTCTAGTTCTGTTGAAGACTCTAGAGGAACTCAAGCAAGAGAATGTAGTTGTTAGATCTAGTCTAGACAAGCAAGATGATATGTTCAAGGAATAAGCTCATACCAACCCCAAGATTGAAGCTCTGCTTCAAGTGATTCTACGAAGGCTGTCACTCCTACTTAAAACCTTTTTTTTTGTTTTTCTGTTTTAATTTTTAAGAAAACCTAGATTTTGTTTTTGTGCTTTTGTATCTTTATTTGTTCAATCTAATGAAGTTTTTTCCTTCCTTTTTTATTTTTTATCAATGGAAAAGGGGGAGAAACGTAGGTAATATTTTAATATACTTATGTTCCGCTCTAATCCCAAACATTTGACTCTGACAATTTTAAACATCCGACTCTAACAATTTTGAATGGTCAAGAAACTTTGAAAAAATTTCGCTAATGTTACTAGTCAGGTTATCTAATTTTTTCTCAGATATTTATGAACCAGGAATAAGAAAATCATATCTCTTAAGTTTGAACCAAGCTCTTGTGCTTCATCAAGCTCTAATAAAAGCTAGACACTGATACAAGGAATCAAGAAATTTTAATCAGAATCTCATACTGGGAAGTTCTTACCTTCATGCTAATTAAAAAATTGATGTATTAAAATTTTTCATAAGTCTTAAACTCAAAATAAAACTCAGGGGAGCTTACAAGCTTACAATCTTACTATCTTACTCTAATAAGTTTTATATGATTAAACCAAGTAAGTATTGTTCATCAAAATACATGGTTTTATCATCATAAAAAAGGAGAAGATTGTAAGAATAAGATTTGGTTCTGCATCTGGCCTTATGTTTTGATGATAACAAAACACAGGTTCTTAAAGAAGAATTTTGTACCCTAATGATTTTGTTTAGTGTGAAGCTACTAGAAACAAGTTCTGACTCTAAGAAAGTGACGTGTGACATCATCAAACTCTTAAACTAGTACACTATGATTCAAAGAAGTAAAACGATGTGTGTTATACAAAGATAATCAAGCTCTGGATTGCTTTGCTCAACGCTTATGATCATCGTTCATCTATAAAGCTTCAGTTTATGACTCTGATAAGAGAAACCTCTGATGTTATCAAGCTCTGAAGTCTTACGCTCAAGAACACTAATGAACTATGACACCAGACTTTGGATCAAGGCTCTAAAAACCAGGTTCTGAAGAATCTCTTATAAAGACTTTGATTCTTCTATACATGCTTCATCAACTCTCTTTCTAAAGCCTCTGGATATTTGAAGATAAGATCAAAAAGATTTACGTGAGAAAATAGTACTCAATACAAGTTCAATATTCTTTCCACTACACTGATTTTGCGGGAAAAGGACTATACTATTATACCCTTTTGTCTCCCATTTTCACAATCCGTTATGTAAAGATACAACTACTTGTGGAATTTCTTTCTGCCCCTCGACGAATCTTTCTATCATCTGTATAAAGGAGTCATGGAAGAATGGAATAATTAGAGAATAGAACAACAAAAGCTACTACGTGAACATTGCAATACTGTGAAAGTTTTGAGAGAAAGAAAAGTATACACGCGAGGAACTTTTGTTCATACACTTTCATAGAAAATATTTTTGTATGTAAATCTTTGTAATACATTTGTGTAATTTGCTTTCATATATAGAAGCATATTTGTAATACACTTAATTTGTTTCTCAATTTTTGAGTTGTATTTCCTTGAGAGACTAAGGTATAGTCAGAATCTCTAAAGGAGACATTGATAGTTTGTCTTTGTGGTTGTAATCAAGTTTGATTATAGTGGATTAAGTCCTTGTGATAAGGCGAAATCACCTTGGCAGGTGGACTGGAGGTAGCTTCGTTAACAGCAAACCAGGATAAAAATATTTGTGTTCATTATTTTTATTCTAAGTTCTCTCCTTGTTGTTTTGGGTAGCAAAAGATTTTTATTCTAGAAACCCAATTCAAGTCTCCCATATCTTGAATTTCTGTTACCTCCAGCAAGACTTTTGAAGATTACACAAGCTACCATTTTTTTTGGAAAAACCTACACCATTGTAACTCCTTCTGGTTCTCACGACTTCAAACATTTGATTTTTATTAGCAGATTTCTCAACAATCCTATGGGAAGTTGCAAGTTACATATTAAGATAAATATTTTAAAGGCGCCATATCTCTTCATTCAACATGTAGTAACTCGTGTGCTTCTTTCAAGAAAGAAGAACCGCAAAGACCTTTTAAAGGAAGATGTGGTGATCATGTGTCTTCCCACTCAGAATATTCAAACCAATTGAGCATATGGTGTTATATGTCACATGATAGACTTTAAAAGAAATAATTTGACATGATTATCATATGAATATTTGATCACCCAAATCTTGTCTGATGCGTATGCTAAATTTGAATGAGAAATTTCTAACAAAGATCTCGCTCAAAGTGAACAAGACTCTTTAAATAAAATAAATATATGAGTTGTTAATGAAGATTTAAAGTATGAGCCATCAAGGTTGAAAACCAATGATCGAAATTTTCTTCAAGATCCATTTATTGAAGCAATGTTATCCTCCATCCTTTCAAACTTTCAAGAGAATTGTATACAAGTTAGCACTCTACAAAATTTGTTGTCAAGAATAAAATGCCTCACAAGTAGTTGTTTTTGATCTGTCTCATTTCCTACTTAAGATTTTTTTTCTCGCTTTTATTATCTTTTATTGGAACAAAATTTTTAAGTCTGGAACATAGATTTATTTATTAAATTTTAGACATTTGAAGTGTTAACTTATCACTAAGAGTTTAAGCTTATAAATTTCATATAGAGTTCAAATTTTTGTAAAACTACTATTTGTCTATTTTTAAATTAAAAAAGAAACTTTAGAAATTTATGCATATAATCAGCTATATTCAAGGCCACATGAACAATTCTGTTCAACACCTCAAACCTTCATTTTTCAATGGGAATTTTATTCACATTACCTTACTTGCAAACCATAAACTTCTCTTAACATCTTCTAATTAAATAAAAATAAAATCTTTCATTCTTTATTATCAGCTTATTTATTAATCTTGATATCCCACCTTTCAAGAGTCAATAATGTCTGCAAATAATTTCAATATTTTTGTCACCATTTACTTCTATTATTTTTCTAAATCATTATATTTGTTTATCAACAATGCAGATGGTCATAATCAACTTGAAAAATAAAGAAAGAAATATCAAGAGGATAATATATCATAGTAAAATCAAGAGAATATTTAACTTAAACTTTAAGAAAAGATATAAAATAATTAAAAAACTACAAGATCATATTCATATAATTATAAATCTAGCTAGCCAAGCTATGAAATCCGACACCACTACTACCGCTACTACAAATACCACCCACCCCCTCGCACCGCACTATTCTTGGCGAGGGCGGGTCAACCAGAGAGTACTCAATGCCCGAAGTCGATTAAAATACTCAGACATTGCAACCAAACACCTTGCAGCTTGACGAATTGTTAACAGCTGATGAAGACGGTGAATTGTTTGGTGCCTCAGATTATCTGCCTGTAAATTTTCAAATTAACAACTGTCATAAACAAAAAATAGTGAAATATATTTTTTTGAAAGTCTTATTTTTAAAAATTTTTTTTTATGTTTCCTTCAATTATATATTTTTTAATAATTGAATGTTTTCATTACCAGGGAAGAATATAGTGAAATATATATCAAAGAGGAGATAAGAAATTTGAATTGTATATAGAGACCAAAACTACAAAATGGTCAAATTGAAAAAGGACAAGCTTACAAATTAATTAAAGAAGAAAGGTTGCTTGAGAAATTAAAATCAAATAATCATTATGATAATCTTGTTTACCTAATGCTTCCTCAGTTTCTTATTCTTATTGTAGTTGATTACTTTGAATAGATCATTCAAATATATTATTTGGAGACTAGACTTGTAACCAAAATAAATTATTTTGCAATAAAATTATAGCATAGTTGGTGAACCAGCCTAGTTTCTAGAACCAGATTTTCACAAAGAAATTTAGGATATCTTAATAATTTAGTCAATAACTCTACATTTTTCTTTTAGCTATGGTGGAAAAGTTTGGAGCTAAGAATTTTACATATTTTTGTTTGAAATGAACTAAGATTTTCACACTCATAGACTAGTCCATACGTATTTATTTAACTATTGCATGCTTTAAAAAACTGCCATGACCACCTCGTGTAGGTTTGCCTCACAAAAATTAAGAAAAAAAAAATAGGATGGAATAGTACAAACATAACATAATTGAAGGTGTAAATCTAAAATTTGATTGGTCATACGAAGAAATGAACAGACATGCGAATTTCACCATTTTAAAAACTAAATTATAAAAAAAAATCTGATTAATTCTTGCACTTGCAAAATCTATAAAAGAATAAAATTGAGCGTGCCAGAATAGAACAGATATATTAAATAGTATAAGTATAAATTTTTTTGTATATTTCACACAAAAAATTAGGGAAGACCGCGGACTCATTAGATATAACTCCCTAAATATGACAATATTTTGAAATAATTTTTTATATCTCAATATTAAAGGTTTTAACATAACAAAATCGATATTAAAATGTGTTTGTTTTAGAAATAGGTCAAAAAGCAACAAGTTATGGTGAGGACTCTAGGTTGTATTTTTCTTCAAGTTACGGTTACGACCATGACATCACATAGATATGGGTTTTCAAATGTATCTTTGGTGAGGGACCACGCTAATCTAACATAGTCTCATATGTTTATGTTCAATATCACGTTACATATTTAGTAACCTTGGTATACAATGTTATGAAATCAATGATGAGTTAATACCCTCATAGATTTACATTAATCACAAACAACCATGAAGGATATCTTAATGGCCGTGCAACCTGTCCATATAATGGTACCTTTGCTAAGCTTAATTTCTTAGTACATTGTACTACCAAACTTTATTTATTTTTATTTTTTTGTGATATGTATTTTCAATTAGTGTTTAATCCTAATAAAATAAAGTTTTGTGAGATTGGGTTATATGACTCTACCCCAAGTAAGAAAAAATAAGGTTTGATGTTGGAGTCGTTTATTTGAGATGTAGTTCCACATGATAGAAATAATCGAATGTTTTTTTGTGAGGTTAAAGTGCTAAAGGGTATGAACCTCAAAGATGGTCGGTGATTCGTTCTCTCTTTCTAATGACAATATTTATATTATGTTGAAGTCCACTTATTAGCGCATCTTCAATGTATTGTTTATTTTGTAGAAATGTTTTTGAGTATATGCAATACGTGCTATTACACATAGTGAAAAATTTAATACGGTTAAATAGTGACTAAAAAATATTTTATACGATATTTGTCACGATTAAACTATGATAAAATATGGCTGATCTATTTGTTTTCCTTAGTAAAACCATTACTAATTTATACAAGATCTCCAAAAATATAAAATAGATGTCAATTTTGTCTTTCGTAAAAGACAACTAATTAGATTGAAGTGTGAGAGTTTTATTGTGTACCCAAACAAACTCTCAAATAATTGGACTCTAATTATACATAGAAAATGTATAAGCATTGCAAAACCCTAAAAGAGAGGAAAATTTGAAAATCCATGTATGTAGATTCTATTTAACAACCTCATGAGAGTAAGGAATGCATGCAAGTATTAGTTTAACTAAGAATTGGAGTAGGTGTCCCTACCCATATGATTGAAGTAGAACATATTCTTGTTCCTACCTTACCCCCACGAGATCAGTTATAGACTTGTAAAAAATAAACTTAAGTAAAATTTATCAATATGGACCACAAAACTAGATCACACAAAATCATTTATACACAACAAATTCAACATAAAATCATCAACATTATAATTTTTGGACATAAAATATACTATGTAACCACATACCTGTCTCACAAAACTTTCAAGAGTTGAAAGCTTGTTCATGGCAAGAGCCATTTGTCCCATGTAGTTAGCCATGATAGGTGGATGGCTCAATGAGTGTGAGGTTATGGTCTCTGAAAGTGATTGGTTGAGTGCATCAAGCCCTTGGGAAAGAGCTTCTTCTGCTTCTTGTGTTGATTGTTGCAACCCACACATTCCAAGGATTTGATGCTCAGTAAGAGGCTTAATTTGACTTGCACTTATCTAAAACATTTCCGTCAAATAAAACATATTAATTCAACCTAAAAAAATATATAGACATGCATAATAAACTTACCATGGTTTATAAAATTATAGCTTATATTTGCAATTGATTATTTTATTTTAATAAATAAAGTGACAATTATTATCATTTTAATATTGTTTCAAAGTTTACAATTGTAATTTTCTTTCACTAATAAAAATATATGCTAAATTATATTTTGAATCTCTTAAATTATTTTAGTTTTTTTATTCCTTAATTTTTTTTTCCATTCCATTTTAATCTCTTAAATTATAAATTTTAATTTAATCCAAATGTTTTTAAAGTGCCTCATGCTTATAACTAAATGGACCAAAATGAGGAAAAACAATACAAGAAACCAAAATAAAAATTAAAAATTATTTAAAGGGCCAAATTTATAATTTAACTTTAAGAATACTAATATAATGATGAAAAACAAATTAGAGAAACTTGTTTTAAATATTTTTTGGTCAAGACACTAATAAAGAATATGTGCGCACTAAATTTTATGGTGAATTAGGGTAGAAAAAGTGAGTATGAAAACAAGACCACTTCATTCCCATAGATAACGAGAGATAGAGACCTTTGCCACTTTTTTTTTTTAATCCATTTCTGATTACAATAACTAATTGAAGTGAAAGGTGTGAGCCTAACTCTATATACCCAATACAGGAAATTTTGAATATAACTTTAATTCCACATTCATTCATGACATCAAATCATTCCTCGCCCACTACATACTTTGGTCAATTCCCTTATATAAAAGTTTGTGTTACATTTGTTTTCGAGGTTTTAGTTTAATGTCGTCAGTTTAGTGATAAGAGTTTGACTTTGTTTTAGACATTTTAACAGATTATTTAAAAAGGTCGTGTTACTTTTGTTTACCTTAATGAGTTCAGATGGTCTGAATCCGCCGATCCACATGAAGCAACGTTCGGCCGGTGTTTTCCACATTCCGAAAACGAGATGAAAAACATCTGTTCTAGCTAGAATGTTTTTGAGGTTAATTACTTGATCATAGTGAGCCAAGCAATTTTCCACATATAACCTAAGCTCATTTTCATGCAAGTGTTCATCTACTGCTGCTCTTAGTTCACATACAAGCCTATTGTGCTCCTCTAACCATCTCCCATATTCCACATCAAACATTGTAGCCTCTGAAAAAAAATTTCCAAAAAATTGTAACAAGTACTCAAAAATCATAAACTTTTTAGTTCTATTTTATGAGTATAGATAGTCACCTGAGGTAACGTTGTTCATAGAAATTGGTATGCCATGATCTCCTTCCAAAATTGCACCTCCACCCATTAAGCCGCCCTAAAAAAGATTGGACATCAGTAGAAAATATTTACATCCATTAGGTCAAGAGAGAGAAAATATAATACTGCTCTCTCGGAGATGAAATACATGAAATACAATGAGAAATTATTTTAAGAAGTCAAATATATTTGATTTCAAATATAACTCAGATACATTTGACTTTTTAAATCATTTTTAATTATATTTCATTTGATAACCTCCGTGTGAGATTATGCGTGTACAACATTCGATGATTCTCGTAATTTAATCAGATAAATCAACTTTTCTCCTATCATTTTTGTTTATATTTCACTTTGGAGGGTGTATTCTCCATGGAATACTCATTTTTAACATTAAGTCAATAGAAAATAAAGTTGATGTTTTTGCTTACTTGAGCTCTAGCACGCTGTAATTCTTGTTCAAGCTGATTAAGCTTAATCCTACTTGATTCTAGCTGCTGAACATAAGCCTGAGAAAAAGAGAGGAATAAGTTAAAAAGAGGTTTGAAAAGTACTTTTTCCTAAAATGTGTAAAAGCAAATACTAAAAAATTTTGGGATAAAAAAACAATCATCCCTATAGAGGAATTCACAGCACCTTTTTCCTTAGCCTGCTTTTCCTTGCTGCCTCTCTATTCTGAGCAAGTCTTCTCAGAGTCTGTGAATAACATTTTCAAAAAATTTAATTATTATATCCTCAAGGAAATTATATTAAGATATTAATCATAGCTTCAAATTGTGGTTGTGGTTGCCAATGTGGTTGCAGTTGTGGGTGGTGCAATTGCGACCATTCCAGTTGCTGCAATGCGGATTGTAGTTGCAACATTAATTTTTATGGAAAATGTTTGAAAAACACTCTTGTTAAAATAATTTGTAAATTGAATTTTGGGTTATGAAATTTTAAGTTTTGATAAAAATACTTAAAAAAAAACATGAGTGAAATTGACTGATGGAATTTTAATGCGATCAACTGCGTGTTTATGAATAACATTATAATTGCAGTTTGTAGAAGCTATCGCATCAACATTATTATGGCCGATATTGCGGTTGTGGGCCACAAATTTAAAATCATGGTAATAACTAACCTTAGGATCTGGTGTTTTTGGTCCTTCATGTTCAGAACTTGAAGTTGTACCCCTCCTATTATTCTCTCTCTGTCATACAACATTCATATTGCATAGTTGATTAATGACAGAAAAATGAAAAATAAAATATTATATAGCTCAAATAGCCGAAGTCAATAGTGCAAGATTGAACGCAATCATCAGACTTCGAATCTTGATACTCACAGTTATGTGTTTGAGTTTCCGGATGTTGATTCCTCACAAAAAAATATTGTATATTATAAATACTACTACCTACCTTGACAGGTTTTGGTGGTGCAGGTGCAGAAGGGGTTTGATTTCGTTGGTTTGCCAACTCCATGGTGGGTTGAGATATTTTTTTGGAACCACTTGTTTGTGGAGAAGTTAATCCCATGCTAGCCTATACCAAATAAAAAAATCAAGACAATAAAATATATTTAATAATGTCAATATTCAACTATATATTAGATTATTACTACTTAACTAAAACATAACATTGTCAACTCAATGTACATTATATATCATATAATAATATATAATTGTTTGTTGATTAGTTATATACCTTTGAATTAGAGGGTGGTGGTGGTACATGCATTGGTTGAGATGGGAAAATGTTAAGAGTTGGTGGTGGCCTCATTCCTGATGATGATGAATTCTCTGTTGAAACAAATACCGTAATTAATAAAATATATCTAACCAAGTTTTTATTTTAATTATGATATATATATATATATATATATATATATATATATATATATATATATATATATATATATATATATATATATATATATATATATATATATATATATATATATATATATATATATATATATAAATAAAAGCAAAATGATATTAATCAGACTATAAAGAAAAAAAAGACAAATATATAGTTACAGAAAAGAAGAGGGTTTACGAAGAAAAGAAGAAAAAGAAGAAACCCATGCCCTTTTGTAAGGAGATATGACACCAAGGTTTGTTACATGTCAATATCTCAAGAAAAAACAAATAAAATCAAATTAGAGAGAGAAATATTTATAGAGAGAGAAAGATCCAGTCAAAGAAAAAGTACTAGTATACGGAAGATAAGATATGAATCTGCAAAAACATGTAGTTGCTGTGAAGAAAACAAACCCTCAGAGAATCTTGAAAATTGAAATGAAAATCATGCAAGAAAGTGCATGTTCATCTTTCTCAATTTGACCAAAAATTAAAACTAAAAACAGAAAGTGAGAAAGAGGAGAGAGAGAGTGTGTGCTCACGTCCTTGATCTTGAAGAGTAGAAGGATCAGCTTGGGTTTGTGATTGTCCATCCAGATACAAGAAAAAAGCTTGATCCAATTCACCTAAATCAAAAGCACTTGGATCTTTGCTTCTGACCAAATCAAAAACAAAAAGTATAAAAAAGAAACACATGAAAAATGAAAATGAAAATTAATAATAAACAATGTAATAAAAATTGGCTATTTGTTCTCATGAGAAACTGGTATGATATTATTGGGATCAGTTATTCAACAGCTTTGTAGAAAGTATACAACTCTGATTATGACTCTTATTATTATTTTATAATAGTATAATAAAAATTGAAAAAAAAAATTATAAATTTTTTTTAAAAATAGAAAACTCACAAGTAGTTCCCAGGGATAGACGATGAAGATGAAGATGGCATCATTCCAAAAGAAATTTGATTATCATCATGCATATGATGATGCTGTTGTTGCTGCTGCTCTTGATGATATTGTTGTTGCTGCTGATGCTGTTGATGATGATGAAGATCATGATAATGATTTTGTTGTTGTTGAGAGAGTGATTCAAGTTGAGATGCTGATGAACTTGTTATGCTCTTAACAACATTAGAAGAAGCCATGATCATAGAATTGTTGTTGTTGGAACCTAAAAACCTTGTATCTTGTTCTGTCTCTTTAAAAGCCAAAGAAAACCCCATTAAAATTAATACTTGTTTCTGTCTTTTCTCCTTAAAATCATTATAAAGAAAAGAAGCTTTATCTCAACAAGAGGTCGGTTATGAACTTATTTGAAATTTATATGGAAAAGAGAGTGAGATATTAAAGAGAAAAATTAGAATTCAATGCAATGAAAATAAGAAGACAAAAATGTTTTTCTTTTACATTTTTTTGTTCGTTGAATTTCTCTCTCATCTTTTTTACTATTACAAAAAAACTAATATAATACTATATAGATAAAGAGGTTTTCCCAGGATATCCTCCTCTACAAGTTTCTCTCTCTTCATCTCTCTCCTGAAAAACCACTTGAGGGAAAGAGAAAGTGTCTTTTGTTTAATGAGAAAAACCACTTTTTATGTGAAAAGGAAAACCAGGTATGGCTTAGTTGTGAAGCCTTTAATTCTACTGTTTGTTTGTGTTAAATGACTTAAAAGTCTTTGTTTTTTTTTTTAATTTGTGTTCAACTTTTTTACTATGACGATTTCATGCAAACTTACACGTTGTTTCTTCACGCGGCTCTCTCCATTGGATCATTTTTTTTTACTTTTCTATTAAACTATATATATATATATATATATATATATATATATATATATATATATATATATATATATATATATATATATATATATATATATATATATATATATATATATATATATATATATATATATATATATATATATATATATATATAAAAGAAAAGAGTACATGATACACCACTAAGCACAAATGGTGCTGGAAGAATAAGAAAAAAGAACGGATTAGACCTAAGGTTGAAAGAAAAATAACAACACTCACACAAAAACAAAAACCAAGCCTCGTTAGAAATAAGACAATCCACCACCTGAAGATAATAGCTGAAAGAAGATAAATTTGACGACCCGCAGAAAATAAAGAAGAGCAATTGACCAAAATGCACACTCTTAAGATCAAAAGCATTCAAGAGAGTCACGATCCCACTAAATCAAGGAGTGAGAAAAAATCGAAGTATCGGAATGAATCCACTTTCAAGGTAAACCAATTATCAAATGCATATAGTGATTAACCGACAACATTTCCTAAAAAAAATGTAATTTTGTTGCACCACTTCTAAATAATTCAGTCCATTGAATGTCAGATCGAAAGCAGACCTAACAAAGATTTTTTACATTGACCGAACCCTTGAAACACCTATAGATCCTCTAAGACTGAATCTGAAGTGATAAAGGCATAATCACCCACTTAAGCACCTTGTACCAAATCAACGAGGCAACCTCACACTAAACGAACAAGTGATCCACATACTAAACCAACCATAAACAAACCCCACACTTGACACGACTATCAGCTGACATAATACCCCTTATAGCAAGATTTATATAGTCGGTAGCCTATCTTGTAGCAATTTCCACGAAAAAAACAACCACTTTGGAAGGTGTGCACCTCTTCCAAACCCTAGTCAAACCCCGAATGACTCGAGCTGATCTTTGATCTACCCTAGACACCAAGGATGAAAGCTTACATTAGAAAAAACTCACTGAAAAACCTCTATTATGACCAAGCCACCATGACCAGGTGTCGGCTCGGCCCTGCTTGACCACCCCTGCAATGTCGCTCATTAAGTCTTCTAGAAGCTCTTCTTCCCAAACCAAAATAGGATGCTTTAACATAATGACCAAAACCCACCCAAGCCGCTCCCACGACTCCATATGCCCCACCAATAGGAACTTTTGCTTAAAAATAGGGAATCATCTCTCATAAGAGACACACAACGGAAGATCCCCGCCAAAACATCATACTAGAATCTATTTATCAAACCATCCCCAACCACATTTGAACAAGATAAGGCTAACCAATCCGACATTAACCAAAAATCGAACTTAGAAAAGATACCCAATTCTATAAGAAAAGGCCTTCCTAAACCCTTATCTCCCTCCTGCCCTCGGAGAACCACACATCTACGAGCCATACTTGGAAGATATAATCTTCTTCCACATAGATGACTTTTCCTCAAGCATCGTCCACCCAAGAACCAAATTCACAAGCCTTGAATCCTTAACCCCTAAACCACCTTCCTTCTTAGATCTAAACATATCCTCCCACTTTAACCAAGCAATCTTAACCTCCTTTAGAACCCCTAGAGGGGACTTATTTGCAGAACAATGAGCTTATTCCAGATAGACATCATCATCTTTAAAAAGGAGAAAAAGAAAATTGAAAGGGATTTACGAAATGAATTAAGAAGAACCACCCACCCACATAGAATCACTAACTTATCCTTCCTATAAGAAAGCCTTTTGGTCATTTCCTGAACAATATGGTCTTAGATCCCCACTTTCTTAGGATTGGCTTCGACGGCGAGACCCAAATACTTGAAGGGGCAGGAACATAATTTACAATGTAAAAAATCCTCATCCAACTCCAGAAACTATTTCCCCACATTAACCCTAAAAATACTACTCTTAGAAAAATTCACCTCAATCCCTGAGGCAAGCTCAAAGCTCATAAGTATTATTGTAATAGTTAATAGATTGTCCATCGACGGAACCCCCGTAATAATTGTGTCATTAGCAAACTAAATTTGGGACACCTCTAAACCATTCTAACCAACTTTAAATCCTAAATAAATCTAACCCAAATGGACCTCATAGTAGAGGCGAGGAATGCCCCCACCACTAGCAGGAAAAAGAACAACACCAAGGGGTAATCTTCCTTAAGATCCTTCTGATTACTTATCTCCTTAGTGGGGCATCCATTAACTAAAATAGAAAGGCTCTTCGAGAACACACATGCTTTGGTCCACGCCTTCCGCCTCACATCAAACCCAAACCTAACCGACATACACTCCAAAAAAGACCAACAAAAATAGTCGTAGACATTTCAAAGTCCACGTTAAACACTAAGCATTCTCTTTTGGCCACTCTAGTCAAATCCACAACCTTATTTTGAGTCATCATATAATCAACCAACAACCTTCCTTTGATGAATGTCTTCTGCTTTAGGGATATAAGTGAATCCATAACCTTTGCCAATCTAGATGCCATAACTTTAGCCACTAACTTATTAAGGGATCCAAGAATAGAAATGGGTATGAAATCTCCTAACTCTAAGTGTAGTCCACCTTAGGGATAAGCATGACGAAGAAGGATGTCAAACTCTTAGGGAGAAAGGTGTTATCATAAAACTGGTCAAACATAGGATGAACCTCCAACTTCAAGACATCCCAAAAAAATTTATAAAAGGAGAAACTACACCCAAATGAACTTGGACTTTTACACCCATTTATTCACACAACCAATGCATTTATCTCAATAAGAACAAATCTCGAAGAAAGCCACCCAATCTCTAAAAGTGAGAGATGTAGAATAAAAACCCCAAATAGGTAAGGCCTACCTCCACCCCATTTCCCGAGTTAGAGAAACACTTTTTAAAAACCTTACAAACCTCATTTTTCACCTCGACCACCTTCTCCACTAAATGTTCTCTAACTTGGAGAGCAATAAAACTATTTTTCAGGTCCTCAGCTTCAAACAAGTGTGAAAATAGCATTGATTAACATCTCTGTCTTTTAAATAATAAGATATAAAGTTCTGGAACAACCGAGCATCCTGAAAACACATGAGCTTATCAATGTCCTAAAATACACTCAACCTGTTAACCAACTCCTCCGACGAAAGGACGGGCTCTTCTGCCTTTAAATCCTACAACTCCAAATTCTTATTACACCTCTTAATCCTATAATACATGTTACCAAATACCTTATTATTCCACACTTGAAGAACTAACTTGAGGGCCTTTAACTTATCTCGGAAGATACATGTAATGCCCAGTTTAATTATTTGAGTTTCTGATGTATTTTAAATTTCGGCTTGCTTGCGTGGATTTTGTGGAGGGAATTGAGATCCATAATATTGGAAAAATATGTTTAATAATAATAATAATGACATGATGATTAATAGCGTTGTTGCTATTATTATTATTATTGTTTAAACATATTATTGGAAAACTAATTTTTATGCTGTGTGTGGGAGTGGATCAGTAGGATCGAATTGCACGATGTGTGCTAGACGTGTGTGTGATGTGTGATATATGTATGTACGATGCATGATGAGATATGGTCAGGGGACCGTGTATTCTGTTTGTGTGTGTGATTGTTGTTGTGTGCGTGCATTGGGGTTATGCATGGCATGTTGTGTTGTGTGCTCCTTTGTGGAGGGTTGATGGCCCAGTGTCCATCGGTGATATGTGCTCCCTGTTGCACCCCAAAATTTGCCTAACATTTCTTTACCTAGCTTGTGTTTCGTTTCATTTAACATAACATTACCATAAGCATCGCATTGACATGTATGCAGGGGGTCAAGGGCTATCATAGAGTACAAAGCTAATCAAGAGATTTTATTCAAGCATCAGAGGTTCTGGTGTTTATTTTGCCCAACAGTTGAGCGGCCGATTTCATTTTGTTTGCAGGCATTTTCTCTACAGGAAGCAGCATTCAGGAGTATCCTAAGCATTTTCATGATCATGATATTCAACAACAAGTTTCAGAAGCTTAACAGGGCTCCGAACGGTTGAGAACGGGTAAACCGGCAGATTTCCCACCAAAAGGCGCCAAATTCAAATTTTTTGATGTGTTAATCGGTTAACACATATGGTTAACCGATTAACCATTGGAAAATAGTCCAGATTTGCAAGTTTTAACAGTGTTAATCGATTAACCTATATGGTTAACCGATTAACCAAAGCAGACTTTGCCTTGCACGTGAGATTTCAAGCAATTTCCATTTGGAGTCCAATTTTGATCATTTGGAAGGTTCCATTTTGCATTCTAGAAGGATCTAGAGCCTTCTCAAGTTGGTTATTTCAGTTTCCCGCCAAAACCCCATACCACATTCCAATCCTATTTTTCCAATCCAACTTCCAAGCCTTGCTTTGGATCCGAACCAAGAGTATATTTAAATGATTTACTTCAAACCTCACAAGCTAATCTTCATAATTCCCT